CGTAACAAGCACCGCGAGATCTGCAGACGGTTTGGTGAGAGCGACAATTTCCCGGCTCTCCGAGCTGAGCTGAAGGAGAAGGATGACGAGTTGGTAAGAGTCATCGAAAAATGCAGTATTCTCGAGGGGGTGTTAAGGGATAAGGAAGAAGAACTTGAGGTGAGCAAATGGGTCGAGGCCCAATATGCCGACCTTTAAGCCCAAGTGGTATCATTGCACGCTGAGCTCGAGGAGTGTCAAATCAAAGTGGACACACTGAGCGGCGAGGTCGTTGAGAAGGCAGCAGAGTGGGAGAAGTCAGAGTTGTCTCGGTTGAGGGTTGCGAGGAAAACAGAGGCTTTAGAGGTCGTGGTCTGCGTTCTTCGTTCTGAGCGGGAGAGTGCTCCGGAGATGGACAAGCTCAAAGAGGAGAGGCTTGATGAACGGATAGGGGAGCTGGAAAAAGAAGCTTCAGGCCTTAGTGACAGAGTCGTTGCTCTTGAGGCCGTGAAGGCATAATTATTGGCTCAGCCATCTTCTTTTGGCACTTCTACTTTTCCTGATATTCCGCGAGATTTGTATGAAAAGTGGATCCACTCCGAGGCCCAACTGGATATATTTAGAGATCTGATAGGGGCAGGGACAGTTTCGGAGGCTGATTTCGAGGATGCTCGTGCTAAGGCACGTACAACTTATATTGTTTGTGGCTATGATCCTGCTATACCAGAGGCTGGTGATGGCGATGAGGATATGGGCATGGATCGGATTGAACAGGATGCCTGGTATGAGGATGAGTATCCCAATGGCGATGGTAATGGAAAAGAGGCGGATGGAGATGGCCTAGGCGATCAAGTTGATGGTACTGCTGGGTTAGGCAGCGATTAGTTGTTTTTCCTTTTTTTTTTGTAGACTTGTGTATATTTTTTATGGGTGTCTTCTTGAACCTTTGTAAAAAGAATATTCTAAGTATGAAATTCTAGTTTTGTTACACGTACCTGATTTTTTTTCTCTTGTTCGAGTTTGTATGCCTCTTTTCTTTTGTTGCTTGGTTGCCTTAGTCATAAAAACTTAGTTCAAGTAGGTTGGACGAGGTCGAAACAGAACCTAGTTTTGATCATGAACGAGGGCCGGTAGGTGTTGGTTCGAATGAGGTTGAACATATCACATGTTTATTTAGGGCTGAGGGGCCGAATATGTGTTAATTCGAACGAGGTCAAGTATAACCTATATTTAGTTATGGCTGAGGGCCGAATAGGTATTAATTCGAACGAGGTCGAATGTAACCTACATTTTGTTATGGCCGAGGGCAGAATAGGTGTTAATTCGAACGAGGTCGAATGTAACCTATATTTAGTTATGGCCAAGGGCCAAATCGGTGTTGATTCGAATGAGGTCGAATATAACCTATATTTAGTTATGGTCGAGGGCCGAATAGGTGTTAATTGGAACGAGGTCGAATGTAACCTATATTTAGTTATGGCCGAGGGTCGAATAGGAGTTGATGCAACGTTGCTTTGGCTGTACGTTTGGCGAAAATATTGGTGAACTTCATGTATTTTTGCTTTGTTCAAACACTTGGAGAAATTTACATATTTTCCGGGCTGACATTCCAGTCCCAGTCTATCTAGTTCCTTCATTGGTCGACTCGAGAAGTATATTGAGAGGTTGAGAAATGAAGTAGTCGTCCTGTATCTCTATCCATTCACACTTCAACTTGAAGTGTTCCCCTTGTTTCCTCGTTAAAAACCTCTTCGAGAAAACCCGGGACAAAACTCAAGTGAGGAAAAAAAGTACGACTTGGAGGACGCTTCTTCTTAAAAGTTGAAGTACTTGAGGTGGGTGATATTCCAGTTGTTTGATAGTATTTTTCCTTCCACTGTTTCTAGTTGGAATGACCCTTTGTTTGCTGTTGCCGTGATTTTGTATGGGTCGTCCCAATTTGTTCCCAGTTTACCTTCCGGGGGGTCTTTGCTTGCTTGTATTTTATCTTTGAGCACGTAGTCCCCGATTTTAAGTGGTCTGATCTTCGCCTTTTTGTTGTAATCGCGTTCTGCCTATTGTTTTTGGGTGATCATCCTTATGTAGGCCATATCCCTTCGTTCTTCGACTTCGTCGAGCTCTTCCTTCTACTTTCGTTGTTCCTCGGCCTGATCTCGTGGGAGTATCTCAAACTGGGCTCTCCGACTTTGACCGGTATTACAACATCAGTCCCATAGACTAATGAGTAAGGCGTCTTTCATGTGCTTGTCTTTGGCATTGTTCAGTAGGCTCAAAGTACATCTGGTAGTAATTCCGGCCATAGTCCCTTGGCGCCTTCGAGTTTTTTCTTCATGATGTTCAGTATTGATTTGTTTGAGGACTCTGCTTACCCATTTCCCGTGGGGTGATACAGTTTTCAGACTATTCTTCTATATGCCACTTTTCAAAAAATTTGGCGACTTTTTTCCCTGTAAATTGGGGTCTGTTGTCGTAATTGATCTCTTTGGGGAGGCCGAAACGGTACACAATGTTTTTCCATATAAAGGTGATCACTTACTATTCACATATTTGGGCGAATGCTCCTGCTTCTACCCATTTAGAAAAATAGTCAGTTAAAACTAAAAGAAATCATACATTACCTCGCCCCGCGGGGAGGGGGCCGACGATGTCCATTCCCCACTTGATGAACGAATAATCGGAAATGACTGAGTGGAGGTGCTCATCTGCTTGGTAGATCATTAGGGCATATTTTTGGCACTACTCGCATTTTTTTACGAAGTCTACAACCTTTTTTTTCATGGTGGGCTAGTAGTAACCTGCCCGTATGAGGCATCTGACTAGAGCTCGATTATCAGAATGAGCTCTGCAATAGCCTTCGTGGACTTCTTCAAGGTAATTATGAATGGTGTTGTACCTGGCTGCTTGCATTCGAAGTTTCTTGGCTTCTTTTTATCATCTAGGAGTATGACATCCTGCAAATATGTAACAATACGATTGCGCCAGTCCCAAGATAGGTTTATGGTTCGTACCTTGATTTGATCTATCGATGAGTGGAGGAGGTGGACCACGTTCCTTTCTTAGGTTGTGATGTTTTTGGTGGCCGCTGCTAGTTTGGCGAGGCCGTCCGCCTCGGCGTTTTATGCTCGGGGATCTGGTCGAGCTTACATTCGTCAAACTCGGGCAGCAACTTACAAATTTCAGTTTGGTATTTTTTCAACCTTTGCTCTTTGATCTGGAAAGTCCTTATGATTTGGTTGACAACAAATTGAAAATCGCAATGTAGTCTTACCCATCTCGCCCTGTATTTGAGTGCTAGTCTTAACCCTACAATTATGGCCTCATACTCGACCTCATTGTTAGTCATATATGGGAAACTTATGGATTGGAGAATCACTTCGCTAGTCAGAACTTCGAGTACAATTCCCAGTCCAGACCCTGATGCGTTACCATTGGTGTAGAAAACCCAGAAGTCCTATGTTTGGGGGGAAGTGTGGGCGACTTCTTTTTCGACTTCGGGCATTATTTTTGCTTTGAAGTCGGCGATGAAGTCAGCAAGGACTTGCGACTTTATCGCTATTTGAGGTTGATATATGATATCATGCCCACTTAATTCTATGGCCCATTTGTCCAACCTACCCGATAGCTCGGGTTTATGCAACATACTTCTTAAGAGGAAAGTCATGACTACCGAGACAGCGTGGCACTGGAAGTTAGGTCTAAGCTTTCGCGAAGCTATGACCAAGGCCATGGCCAAGTTTTTGAGGTGAGGGTACCTCGTCTCGGCGTCGACTAGTTTTTGTTAATGTAATAGATGGGAGATTGTGTACCTTATTTTCTTGATCCAGGACTGGGCTCACGGCTACTTCGGATACCGCGAGGTAGACGAGGAGGCGCTCCCCTAGTTTTGGTTTTGAAAGCAATGGTGGCGACGACAAGTAAGTCTTCAACTCCTTTAAGGCTTAGGCGCACTCAGAGGTCCATTGGAGGTCGTTATCCTTTTTAAGTACGCCGAAGAATTTGTGGCACCTATCGGATGATCGTGAAATGAACCTTGAAAGGGTGGCGACATAACCAGTCAACCTCTGAACCTATTTTTGGTGGTCAAGTGCTCTGGTATCCCTTCGATTGCTTTGATTTGGTCGGGGTTGACCTCGATACCTTGTTGTGACACTAGGAATCCCAAGAATTTTCTTGAAGCCACACTGAATGCACATTTTTTGGGGTTTAGTTTCATTCTGTATTGCCTGAGTATGTCGAAGGGTTTTATCAAGTGATCGATATGGTCTTCTTTCCTTTTGTATTTGACCAACATGTCGTCTATGTAGACTTCCATAGTCTTACCGAGTTGTTCTTTGAACATTTTTGTTACTAACCTTTGGTATGTTGCTCCTACGTTTTTCAGTCCGTAAGGCATGACTTTGTAGCAGTATGTCCCATGCTAGGTGATGAAAGGTGGTTTTTCCTGATCCTCTTCTTCCATAAGGATCTGATTATAGCCTGAGTAGGCGTCCAAAAAACTTAGCAATTCGTGCCCGGCCATGGCATCAATGATTTGGTCGATATGAGGTAATGGAAATGAATCTTTGGGGCATGCTTTATTTAAATCTGTGAAGTCTACACACATTCCCCACTTCCTATTTTTCTTTTTTACCATGACCACGTTGGCGACCTATTGGGGGTATTTTGACTCCCCGACAGAGCCATTTTTCAATAATTTTTTGACCTCATCGCATATTGCATCATTTATCGCGGAGTTGAACATATGCCTAACCTGCCTCACCGGGGGGAGGGGTGGAATAGGTCGATATTCAACTTGTGTGTGGCGATTTCTTCGGGATACCTAGCATATCTGCATGGCTAAAAGCAAACAAGTCCGTTTTAGTAGTTAAGAATTGACGGAATTTACTCGTTTTTGAAGCTTGCAGCCAATGTAAGCTTTCTTGTTGTGCTCGTTATCATCTAATTGAACGGGGTCGAGGTCTTCTATGGTCGATTCTGCAGCTTCTACCATATCAGTGTCTCTGATGACGTCCTCTCTCTCATTAAAGATCGACCTCGGCCCTGTTATTATGCCTTTTTTGCTTTGCCCTTCGTTTATTGAGTGACCGTACAATCCAGGGCGATGCGGTAACATTCCCGAGATGTGCGTTGTTGTCTTCGTATGATGAATATTCCCCATGGGGTTTGAAATTTGATGACTTGGTACAAACTGGAGGGATAATTCTCATGGCATGTATCCATCGCCGCCTTATTATGGTGTTGTATGTTGTGTCCTGGTCCATGATATGGAATGTGGTTTCCAGAGTGACGTCACCAGCTAGGACGGGTAATGTGATTTTTCTAAATGTTCGCTCAACTGCATTGTTAAAACCTGTTAGTGTGATGCAACAAAACACTATCTTATCCTCGAGTTTCATTTGTGCAAGTACCCGAGGGTAGATAATACACGCACCGCTCCTGTCATCTACCATAATGCGTCTTACATTCGTATCTAGAATTTGTAAAGTGATAATAAGGGCATCATAGTAAGGGAAAACCAAACCATAGGTATCTGACTTGTCGAAGATGATACTTTCTTCGAGTTCGTCATACCGTTCGTGAGTGATCAATCGTTTGAGGTTATGAGTTGTGGTGAACTTCACGTTATTGATAGAAATGTCACCACCGTCGCTGATAATCATTGGGATTGTTCGAGTTGGTGAGGGCAATTTCGGCGGTCCCTGATGCTGTTTGCGCCCTCTGGCAAAGTTGGTCCTTTCCTGGTCGCTCAACAATTCTTTGAGGCGTCCTTGTCGAAGCATGTTTACGACCTCTTGTCTTAGGGCGATGCAATCCTCAGTTTTGTATACTTGTTCTTGGTAGAATTCGCAAAGGTCATCTAAATTTTTGGTGCTCTGATCCAACCTCATCTTTTATGGCCACTTTACCTTTGGTCCGAGCTTCTCCTATGTGTGGACTACTTCTGAAGGTGAGACACAAACATTGTGAGCAGATAACAAAGTGGGCATACCTCTCTCGTTCCGGTGAGTCCCTGTCCTTGGTTTGGATGGGCCCTCTTCGTGGCGGGAGGGGAGTGTGATGGCGCTTCTAACATATGGAATATGCCTTCTTGGTTGGGTCGTGGAGCTACGGGGTCCCTCCTGATATTATTTCTTCGATCTTTCCTGGATTCGGCTTGAACCAAGGTTAATCGATGAGTTGGCCCGTTGAGATCATCCTCATCTGCTTGGACCTCGGCACAATAGGCATTATGTATTTCATCCCAAGTGGTTGGAGGATACTTCATGAGCTGATGTACTAACTTTCTTGTCGCTCTTGAACCATTTCGGCTCAGCCCATTCTTGAAAGCTACGATGACCATTCCTTCCGATATATTTGGTAAGGTCAATCTTACTCGGTTGAATCGGGCAAGGAAGTCCCTCAATCCCTCTCCCGGTGACTATTTGATAGCAAATATGTCGTTCACTCTGGCCCCAGGGTGGGCCGTTACGAACTTGTCGGTCATCTCTTCGAACATTTTAATGGAACGCGCATGCAGTTGTGAATACCATGTTAATGCCCCTCCAGTGAGGGTTGCGCCGAATCTTTTCAACAAAATGGAGGATACTTGTTCCTTGGCGAGGTCATTGCCTTTCACAGTGTTGACATAGTGAGTTACATGGTCTTCGGGGTCGGTCGTACCATCATATATTTTCAGATAGGGCGGCATAATAAAGGTCTTTGGTATGGCATGTGGGGCGGCTTCGTCTCTATATGGTTGCTCGACAAACCGATCAACATCTCTTTTTGGCAAAGGTTTTTGGGCACCTAATATCTTGTCAACCCTTTCTTGGTGTTCTTTCATTTGGTCCCGAAGCTCTTTGTTCTCGTTCTCCATTTCCTCCATTTTTTTCAAAATGGTTGTGAGGGTGTAGTCACCTGCACTATTAACGATGTTATGAGGAATACCTATTATCAGAGGAGGAAACGAGTCATGCTGCTTGCCTGCTATTAGTATAACGCAAGTCCTTGCGTTCTCTACAATTGTATCCTGAGTGGCCTTGTGGAGGATGCTGGTTAGTGTGTCAGTTGCCTCGAGGAGCTTTTTTTTACTGCTGGTGTCAACATAGACGTGGAAGCTCCTTTACTGCAAGATGTTGCGATTGTGCCGTGAGGAGGAGGTGATATGCCTCACCTGGGAGAGGCGTTAGGCGTTGTATCCTCACCTTCTATTTCAGAGATCTTGTTGATGGTGTTCAAGAGGTTGGTTGTGAGGTCGCCCATTACCCTCGTTCTTTCTTCTCCATTACCTGCCGTATCAAATCTGTTTGTACAAGGGAAGGGGATTTTGTTCTTGTTTTTTTTGTTGGCAATCTGTGCTAGTTATAGATCTAGAGGAAACTAAAAATTTAACTAGGAAATCCCCACAAGCGACGCCAAATTATTTGACCAATAATATAAACTTTCGGTTAAACTATTTAATTTTATGTAATGAGGGGTTAAACTTCGCTAATGATAATATCTCTAGATATAGAATTAGACAGCATGGATGAGATATGATAAAGTCAGCAAGAGATCGAAAGTAACGCACGTTTAATATTCCAAAAAGGTGTGTGCAATAATGGAAGAACAACTAGCAATAAATAACAATAAGTGACATTTATGTAAATAGGGAGAATGATTCACCCAATAATGAATGAGATAGATGATTGTTCATTCTGACAATAATGAATGACAGACAAATCCTAGAATGTTTGAACTATTCTCGAATTTGATGGAAAAGCATGGAATAATGTGAATAAGGATCTTGATGAAATGTAAAGTTTGTATCTTTGCTAGAGAGAGAGAATCTTCTTCTAAAAAGTGCTCTTATCAAGTGAATGTTCTGTTCCTTACACCACTGTCTCTTTTTCTATTTATATGAGACATGTCCCTAGCAAACCTTAATAGTAGAAGTATAGAGAATATTCAATATTCTCTTTATTATCTTATTACAAAAACTAGTCGTTATTGTTCTGCCTTTGATGCTCGACCTCGGTTGTTGTTGACTGCCAGACCACGAATCTCGCGACTTCCTGTCGACCTCGACCGACCTTTCCTTAAGCTTTAAGCTAAGTTTCCTTATGGAGGATTTTGGCCTATACAACATAAGCATCAGAGCTCTCCTGTCAAGCCAGAGCCTATTGCATGATTGCATTATCAATATATGTTTCTAGCTTGGCCAAACCCGCGTCAAGACCCGCAACCGCAAAAACTCTTTTTTTTAAAACAATCAATTCACCCCGCCCCGCACTCGCACAAACCCAAACCCGCCCGGCCCCGCCCCGCACAAGCCCAAACCCGCACTGTTCCGCATAAGTTCAAACTCGCCCCGCCTCGCTCCGCTCCGCCCCATTGCCATCCCTAATTCTATGCATACAAATTTGTATTCGCCAGAAGAAGCACTATTCCATAATCATGTATGTGCATTCACTCAATTTCTTTTCTGTGCAAAGAAAAAGAAGTAGAGCAAACGCAAAAGAAGCGAAGTAGAAGAAGTAGGTATGTCACTCTTTTAAGTTGTAGCTAATTTTTAATTTCTTGCAAATATTGGTTATATTTTAAACTGTAGCCCAAAAAGTGGATACGTGTGAAAATGGGATTTTTTGATTCCTATACACTATTGGAAACTTGATTACCCTAAATATTCATGTTTAGTAAATTACCCTACATACACAAGTTTTGTTTACAAAATATATACATTCTACCTTAAAAGGCTCTCAATCCATTATTAGTGCCTTCAATTAAGGAATTTAGTTACACCCTTTTTTTTCTCCTCTCTTCTCTCTTCTCTCCAGATTTTGTCTTTCTCCTTCATTTTCTCGAATTCCTACAATACAAATTAAAAGTCAGATACTTCCATACAATACCAAACAGAATGCAAATAATTGCCTTTTTAGCAGCAATCCACTAAGAAATGGACAAGATACTCATCAACAATTATTTTAAACTCTATCTTGGCACACTAACTCTTTTTCAAACAAACAATTAATGATGATAGGCATCACTTTCAGGTTAGAGTGGTTATTCACAATAAAACAATGATGCAGTAGCATAAAAAAATTAAATCCTTAATTAATTAGTCCAAAATTTAATTTATATTAAGCTCCTATGACAAACTAAGCTTCTTAACTTGGTTTGAGATTGGTACAATCAAAACGTTAATTAATAAAATAAAACTTTAATATATATTTTTTACTTTAGATCTGGAGTAGATGTGGAAGACAAAGAGCCAATTTTGTCTACATTTTGATTAAAAATTTGCGGGTATGGGCAACTAGTTCACCTGTTGCGTTCAAAGTCGTGAGAAAGTCGCAGTAATCCCTAAAGCTGGAATTTTAACGTTTGCTAACTCTATAGGAACCAGTGGTATTGTTCTTCTTTCCTGATAACATGCGACGAAGACACCTTTGCCAAAGCCTCTCTCACCTCCCAGTTATATACAACTACAATATAATACCACTTAAATACAATTTTTATACAATATGTCTTTTGTATATTTTGTATCTAATTTATACATAGTAAAAATAAATTTCATACAGCTAATTATATATTATACAATATATCTACAACTTTCACACATTATTTCTACCTAGTTAAATACAACTACAATAACATACAACTTAAATACAAATTTTATACAATATATTTTTGTATATTTTGTATCTGATTTATACATAGTAAAAATAAATTTCATACAACTAATTATATATTATACAACTTATCTACAATTTTCATACATTATTTCTACTCAGTTATATACAACTACAATATCATACAACTTAAATATAATTTTTATACAATGTTGTTCAACTTTCATACAATAGTTAAATAAATAAAAGGAAAATATATAAATAACAAAATATAATTTTTCTACAATTTTACTACAATTTCTGCAGTATAATGTATGTCATGTCGTCGTCTTCTTCTTCTTCTCCTCCTCCTCCTCCTCCTCCTCCTCCTTCTTCTTCTTCTTCTTCTTCTTCTTCTTCTTCTTCTTCTTCTTCTTCTTCTTCTTCTTCTTCTTCTTCTTCTTCTTCTTCTTCTTCTTTCAATCTGAAATTCAGCCAAAACCAAGTCTAATCTTCACCAAAACCCCTTAAAATTGAGATATAAATTCCAAACCATATTCCCAATTATTTGCAACAACAAATCCAAACAAATAACGATTTTAAAAAACCCAAATTCGAATTTAAAACTTCAAAACTTTTTAATGGATGTCAATGATGGAATTGATGCTCTCTTTTCCTTTGCTTGACATTACTGAAATTTGGGTTTGAGAGATAGAGAGAGAGACGTAGAGAGAATTCTCAATTCTTTGCAACAACATCCAATCCAAACAAACAATGTTTTTTGAAAACTCAAATTCGAATTCAAAGCTTCAAAGGTTTTTAATGGTTGTCAATGGTGGAATTACCGCTCTCTTGTGCAAGATACGTGAGGAGGGGGTGGGATGTGGAGAGAGAAACGTAGGGGAATGGAAGATATGTTAGAGTAATTTTAGGACACTAATTATTATCATTAATTCCCTTAAAATGTACATAAATGGTAATTGAGTATATAAAATATAATTATAGTAAAACTTGAGTAGGGAGGGTAATATAGTTTCATATAGTGTATAGGAATGTAAAATTTATGTGAAAATATCTCCAAAATTAACCCAGTTCATCCAACTACTTAAACTAAAAATAGCCGGTAGAGTTATAATATATATATAATTTATATATTATATGTGTAGAATTACGTATAATCAATGTATAAATTATACATGTGGCTAGAAAAAGTAAATAATGAATATGCTCGACTATTTAGGGGTATTATCACTTTTAGCATGCGTCAGAAACTATTTACATCTGATAGCCGAAAAAGTGTAATAAAACTTATATAATTTTTGTATATAAAAATTATATATTATTTTTAGAGCGCCCACTATTTATGTAAAGATCCTATTTACCGTACACCAAAAGAACGCCATTGATGTTGTTCTCCGTTCCTCTCATCACCTGGACCTGAATACAATGGACTGCAATTACAATGGATGGACGGGAATACAACCAAACCCAAGTTTATACCCTAACCCTCCATCACTGACGGACCCTTATGCTTCCATTCTCCAATCTACCTCCTTACCTGCCCATCAATCTGTGCCTCTAAACCCTAACCCTAGCTCATATACACTTAGTTCAGGACATGAATCCCAGCAACAGGGTTTGGTCTTTGTTTATGGCCACGCCAATGGTGCTAACTCTGTGGAAGCAACGGCGGTATATTATCAAAATTTGGTAGCAAATGAACAATTCAGGCTTAGTGAGGTCAGTCATAATACTACTGTTGTTAGTTATTTTTTTTTTTATCAATTGGGCATCCTTGAATATCATGGGATTGGAGCAATTTGAATTTACTCCCTTAGTTCCATTTTATATGATATGTTAATTTGATTAATGTATTGTATTAGTTGTTTCATGTATTGTGGATGGGGTAAAATATGAAAGTTTAAGATATAAATCGTTAAATGGACCGGTTGGAGTAATAACCTTGGGAACAAAGGTTCCAATCTATAGTCATCATAAGTGAATTCCTCTCATCTTCCCAAGTCTTGGTGGACATTTTCTCATAGTTCGTGCCTTTTTGGTGGGAGCCACTGCTAATATAGTATAATTTGAGTTTCATCTATTGTTTATCCTTGTAAAAAATAATATGCTACTAAACATTTGGGGGACGCCCCAAAATGGAAAGTATGTTATACAAATTGGTAAGAGCGCAATACATGATGCGTGGTTAGGCACATGTCATGGGTTCGAACCCTACCATAGATGAAAGATGAAAGCCTGATATTTGAGCGGACAGAGATAGAGGGATAAGTCCATTTCTACTGAGTTTCAAACTGTGCACCACGGGCCCTCGACATTGGCGGATCCAGAAAATAACGCACAGGTTCACGGAAACTCAGTAGCTTCTGTCCAGACCTTGTATATGCATTAAAAAATTAACAGAAATCTATAATTATTTGACTGTAAACCCAACTATTATTGTATATTATTCTGAGGTCATTGTAGGAACCCATAAACTTCAAATTCTGGATCCGCCTCTAGTGCTCGGGATTTCTCTGTTATAAAAAAATATTGGAATGGAGGGAGTATATGATTTTTGGTGTCCTTCAGCAGTTACAATTTGTCTCCTTTCTCATGTTTCCTTCTAATTATGGAGGGAGTATAAGGTTTTGGTTTCTTTCAATAATTACCATATATGTCCTTTTTCTTTTTTGAGGATGTTGAGGTGGATGTGCGTACACACTAGGATGAATAAGATTAGGAATGATGATATTCGGGAGAAGGTGCACGTCGCTCCCATTGATGACAAGATGCGGGAAGCGAGACTCAGATGGTTCGGGGCATATTCAAAGGAGAAGCCCAGATGCTCCGTTACGGAGGTGTGAGCGTCTGGTTGTGGAGGGCGAAAAGAGAGGTAGAGGGCGACCTAAGAAGTATTGGGGAGAGGTGATCAGACAGGATATGACGAGGTTTCATATTTCCGAGGACATGACACTTGATAGGAAGATATGGAGGTCGCGTATTAGGATTGTAGGCTAGGATGTAATTGAGTCTTGCCTTTCTTCGTACTATTGTGGGACTAGTATGGTAGGGTTTTTTGTATAAGATAGCTAGTGACAATGTCGTGTTTTACTATTTTCGCTTTCGAGTGCATGGCCTATTTACTAGCCATCGCTTTCGCTTTTGCTTTGCATCTTTCTTCTGGATTTCATGTTGTTCCTACTTTTCCTATGATTTCTATAGTGATACTAATATTGTCTCCTTTTGTCCTTTGTCTTTTTTCTTGAGCCGAGGATCTTTCGGAAACAGCCTCCCCACTCCTGCGGGGTAGGGGTAAAGTTTGCGTACACACTACCCTCCCCAGACCCCATTAGTGGGTTGTTGTTGTTGTTGTTGTTGTTGTTGTTGTTGTTGTCCTTTCTCCCTTTTCCTTCTAATTCCTATAGAAGAGTACTGGTGGTAGAAGTATGTGATGAAGAAACGTCCCTATTTTGTAGAGTTGATTTTGGTGGAAATTCGAGAAGGTTTAAAGAAAAGATTTTGGATGATAAGTAAAAAATAATAAAGTGAAACAGTGAAGGGCGAGTGATACAAAGGCTACTTTAAACTATCCGAACTGTCTCAGTTTATATAACTTTTATCCCAAGTAAGTCATAAATCATCCATAAGTCTCGGTTAAGCTATTATATTTGTTTGATTTGCACCAAACATTTAACTTCTATCGTGAATGTTACAAAACCATTTCTGTCACATGCAGTAAACCAAGTGGTAAATTAAGGAATTTTTCTTACCGCCAAGGTGGTGCCAACTGTGTTACATCCAACTCTCTCTCTATACAATTAAACAGTGAGTAGAAAGGGGGAAAACAAGGAAAGGGGAACTTGCTGTGGAATTTGATTATATGTATACATGTAGAGACTGAGGTTCATCGACCATAATGTCAAATGCAATAGAAGTATTTATCTTGGATCAACTGACATATTTAAGGTCGGTTTTCCTGATTGAGGCAGTCCATGATAGTGTTGATCCTTTGCTAGTTTGTTTTCTTTTTCAGAAATTATCGATAATAGTTTGGTTGTTCATGGTTAGATTCTTACTAGTGTTCTTAAATTTAGATGTTTGATGATAAGCGATGCACCTGTCATCATTCAAGGGCCAAGGCTGGATCCCGTTAATTACACCTACCTCCTCATCTGTTTCTGTTCTGCATTGATCTTATGAAATGATTGACCAAGTGTTTCATCCATATGGTTGTCTTAGATGATAATCTTTCATGGGATTGACATCTCACTTGAAGGTTGTTCATTTCCTGCTTTAAATATTTTTCTCATCCACAGCGTTCTGTCTCCTTTATTTTCTTGCTTTGTCTTGTCATATATGTATATGTTTAAATAGTTTCAGCATTCTAGAAATCTCTATAAGTACTCTCATTGTTTAAAAGATTGTCACTTGAGTACTTTATCTACAGGTGGCTGCATTGTCTATAAATGGTGGAAAGAAATCGACTCCTGCAAATGTAAATTCCAACATTTTTATCCAGCCTCAGAGTTGTGGGTCTTGGAAAAGTGGCCACAAGAAAAATAAGATACAGTCTGTATGGTGTGAGGCTTGCAAACTTGAATTTAACAGCAAAACTGTTCTTGACCAACATAAATTAGGGAAAAAACACAAAAGAAGTTTGGACAAATTAAGAGGAGGCAGTGTTGTTGCAACTCCCGCTTCTGCCCCTTTTGTTGCTTCTGAGGTGTCAGTTAACCCATTTGTTGGACTGCAAGAGACTCCTGGCAAGGTGAAATCAGTGAATGGACAAGATGCAGGGAAGAAGACAGTTGAACTGGTGGAGAATTTGGAGACCAAAAGACAAAAAGTTTTGGAAGGAGGAGCAGCCACAAACGAGGTGCGCACTTGTCTCGCTTGCAATGTGGTTTGCAACAGTGAGACCGTTTTCAGAATTCATCTTGCTGGTAAAAAGCACATTGCTAACATGTCAAAGCAAGAGAAGTTTACCCCTGCTGCTGCCTCTCTTGTTCCTTCTGAGGTGTCAGTTAACACATTTATTGGACCACAAGAGAAGCCTGACAAGGTGAATTTAGGAAATGGGCAAGATGCAGCGAAGAAGGCAGCTGAGATGGTGGAGAATTTGGAGACCAAGAGACAAAAAGTTTTGGAAGAAGGAGCAGCCACGAATGAGGTCCGTGTGTGTCTTGTGTGTAACGTGGTTTGCAACAGTGAGACTGTTTTCAAAGTTCATCTCGCTGGTAAAAAGCATATAGCTAACATGAAAAAGCAAGCATCTGGAGCTGGAGTAGTTCCCGTAAATTAGAATGGGAATTTTGAAGGAAATTTAGAGGAGATGGCGTTCATTCATTTTTCTTTGTTCAGGTTTCTTATGGATATAATAACTAGTTTACTGTAAATGACATCATATGCAATATGTTTGATAATAATTCCTTACCTTTAAGCCAATGGATTTCCTGAAGATCGTATCAGGTTTACCAAAAATTCAAAATTAAGTGGACACTAATTTGGAAATTGGAGCTGATTAAGCCAGAACAGGAAGACCAAGTTTTTTCCAGCTATCAGTTCATAGAGAAGTGGTTTTTTGTGTGGATAAACAAGACGGTTGATGTAATTAAGTGTTCCAAACCTCCAAAGCCTTCCTAGCAGACCACACAGCAGTCAGCAACTGCATCAGGTACAATTGCTTAGCAGGGCACTGAGAACTACAAACATTGTAGTGTCTAGCTTTTGTTGTAAACCAGAAAACATAGTTTAAAACGGTTTTTTTATCTTATGGAGAGTGTACGCATAATTTTCTTTTTTATATGATTGAGACTCTTGGGCCAAAACTGTGGCAGCTGGCACCATAAAACTGCTGTAATGAGAATTTGCATAGGGGGCGAGACACATTTCTTACTTGAGTTAGTAGGACAGAAAAAATTTACCCGCACCGGGTGTTTACACAAACCAATAAATACATGACATGTGTCTTGTATATGGAATTCAATTATTTAATCATGGTAAATCATATGCATTCTCATCTAATTCAATTAGTGAGTTAATATAGTTTGGTGTAAACACCCGATATGGGTAAATATTTATCGTTAGGACACCTCCACTTTTTGTATTGAACTTTCTTGCATAGAAACCAAATTATATATGTTCCCTGAGATGAAAGCACTAGGAACATATATTAGCTCATAGTGGCATGATAATAAGGCAAGTGACCTATAACAATGCACTAATTTTGTAAAAATTAATTTCGATGTAAGATAAAATCCAAGATCCTAGGAGAGATTTCGACATGATATTAAGCAACTCTTGCATTGGGAAAAAAAATACGTATGATGAACTTTAATGGCAATTGGTTATTAATCACTCAATCAGCAGTTTGCTCATCACGTGTCCATGTCTATATAGGCCATAACTTATCCAGACACCCTTTTATATTATTTATAACTTGATGTAAGCCACTATGTAACCAATTAACGTAACGTTCATCTTCCAACATATTCTACTTTTCGATTCTTCCGCGAGGAACTACATTGCATGAAGGGAGTTCAATTGAAGAAATCCTCTCATCAAAAATGATACTGAACAAATAATAGAGTAAAAATAACTTTTTATTGACTATATATAAATCATTAGATCCCCTTGACATAAAGAAAGCTTCTAATTCAACTTTAAAGGTGACTCAAAGAATACTTTAGGTCACAAATTTGAATCCTAAGTGTCTCATTCTTGTATATTTTTTGAATCCCTTGTTCGAGTTCCTCGTTTCGTAGCCATCTCCACTCAGATATAGTACATAGTAGTTGTTTGTGATACAGTTAGACCTCTCTATAACAAATATCCTCTATAACAACACTTTACTATAACGACTAAGTTTGCTTTGGAACTAATTTTTCATATTATGTTATGTCATATATATGTTCCCTATAACAACATTTTACTATAGTAGCAGAAAAGTTTCGGAACAAAAAAATCACATGGACAGGTTAAGGCAGCAAAAAGGTTTCTGGAAGTCACGTACGTATGTACCTTTTTGAGAGCTCATTTGACTATCCCTATCTCATACATTTCACTACTCAACTTAGGTTAAAATTTCTGTCGGTCACTGAATTGCCAAGTCAATATTAATGAATGCACAAAGTCTTTTCCGAAAGAGAAAAATGTGGCAGCCAGAAAATATATAACTTATGTATATGCAGTTACAATAAGATTCTTTTTACACAATTAATGTAATCTTTTGAGAACCGTGACAAGTCACTTATCATCTTTTGCAGATGAAATGTTTTCATTGTAAGTATGTATTGGTTAAACTCGAAATTAGAAATTAGTTAGTTGTGTTACCAATATTTTATTAACTTACATATAATGGTAGGTGTAGAATTTTTACACTATTAGTGTTTCTAAATTTGACATAATTAGATACATGCCTCGTTTTACTGATTATTTTCACTTTTTATGGATAATAATCTATAGTTCTATTTTAAATGACATGATTGTTTAGGCAAATGATTTAAAACTCTTTTGTCAAACTAATTGTCGATAATAAAGAAGGTATTAGCCAAATATAATTAATTTCATATCCAAGCATACAAAGTATGGAATAACGAAGAGTAGGAATGTATAAGATTTATTAATGTGATAATCGTACATCAAACACGAAAGATGGGCTTACATCCAGAGTAGAGATGCATCATAAACAAGGGAGCAAAGAAGGAGAAGAGAAGTAACTGTTGATAAGCGAAAAATTCCTCCCGTTTTCTCTGCTGTGGTTGCTCTCCTCTCCAAAAGATCCCCCCGAGCTCTCTCTACCCATATATATAGTCCCTTTCCCTCTTTATTCAATGGTCTTTGACCGGCGTGCTTTCTTACGACTGTACCTTTCGTCGTTGCCCGAACACAGTGTTTATTCTATGATGTACGCTTTCGACGATTTGACCCCGATGATGGCCGAGGTGCCTTTTGCTCGACCCATCATCATTCCTCTTGGGGACGACCACTATGGTCAGATTTTGACCCATATAGTTAGTCCCTCCGTCCGTCGAGGTCGCCTCTTAGCGGGCTCAACGGGCGGACTCTGTCGATTCGAAAGTTAGGAGAAATCTGAATGTTTACGCCTTGAGCGAGGCCTTTAGGTCGAGGTGATGGCGTGACGCTTCAATAATACCATTTAACCGTTACACCCATTCGGAGTTGAACCATTGTATCGATTTGATGCATCATGAATAGCCACTATTATTATGGTGCACGTTTCCCAGGAATCATATCGTTTCTTGTGCCCTATCAGTTTTGATTGGTGGCTCTTGGGTTTCCCGCTCAGAACATTTAGGTTCCTATAAATAGGGAGAAAACACCATTCTATTGCCACACTTTTCGACTTATCAAAGGAGTTTTGCAAGCCTTTACCTTCTTTGATACTTCAAATTTCTGAATTCACTCTCCTGTCAATTAGAAATTGACGCCACCATCTTCTCTCTCTCCCTTTCTCTTACTCATTTATTCCGATTAATCGAGACAAATGGCTGGTACTTCTTCCCACACTGACAGACCCATCGAAGCTTCGGTGCCGGAAAATAACGCACCTGTTCTCAGAGAAGGAGCGGAGGCGGCAGAAGATTAGGGGGTTCCAACAGCGGCTGAAATACTGCCCCGTCCGAGGAAATTATGGAATGATTTTAATAGCCCCACCGGAGAAGATCCAGAACCTGCTTCATCTACCATGGATGAATCGGCGATTGACCAAGTGGGGAATTCGGAATCATATTGAAATGATATCGGTGACGGGAACGGACATTATGCATCTGCACCACCCAGAATATTGCGCATATTATGCATGCCCTTTTGTTGTTGGGTATATGCTCCTGCTCTTCTCCCTGGTGATAGACTTCTGCCGCTTCTACGAGGTGTTCCCGGCTCAGCTTTCACTGTACGTGTACAAACTCTTCCTCATGCTGCTCAAGTTCGTAGAGCTCGCCGGTCGAGAGGTCACTTTGGGGCATATGCTTAATATTTTTGATTCCCAACTTATTTGAGGCTCGATGATCTACATGCGTCACCGAGGAACAAAGAGTTTGGTGGTGAAGATGGACGACAAGGCTAATCGTTGTTTCTAGGAGAGTTATTTCTTCGTACAGACCGAGCACCTTGTGGTGGACCCAGCAGGGCTTCTCGAGACATGGAACTTCCCCTGTAAGTTTTCTTATGTTTAATTTATGACTTCCCTCGAGGCAGTGGCTGATTGTTCCTCTTTAGTGGTGTTGCTAATTCGTTTTCTGCATTCATAGCTGAGAGATTGCCTCCTCTGCCCGTTGATGACATTTGCGAATGGGTTAATGCTATTCTTCCTCATACGACGGGGGCCCGTGAGTGGGCGTCCTTCTATGAGAGATACAGGCCGTTGCAGTTTCCTTGTTCTTTGTCTTGTAATTTGATCTCGTTGCTTACATGATCGTTTTTCCCCTTTAACATGGAGAGTGTGAAGGGCGAGGGCTCCTCCACTCGCGTTTCATCGATCGGCGCCTTCTGCGCGACCCGCACCGAGGTTTGCTGCCCGGCCTACATCTAGAGCTGCTCAATCTACTCCTACGGCCGGGGTCGTGTGCATGGAAATTATTCCTTATGCTGAGACTCCGGCTTCTGCTGCCCGCTCAATGGGTGAATCTTCCTGTGCTGATGACGGGGAGGGTCCGTCAAAGAGGCGGCGAGTGGAGTCTGAAGTGGCTCCTTCAGCCGCAGTACCTTCGGGGGGCGACCTTCCCTCGACAGTGTCTGAAACTGGCAGTGGTGCTAACATGTCAGTGAAGTTATATTGGTGCATGAAGTGGCCGCTATGGGCCTGAGGGTAAGTTTCTCCTCTTTGTTTCTTTTTGTGTTCCTTTTGTTTTGGCATCCTTGGCTTTTACCAACTCTTTTCTATCTTTTTTTTGTCTTTTAGTCTTACATGTTGGAGATCGAAATGCTTGCAGGGTCGACACTCGGGCGAATATTTTTCTGATGATGTTGGAAAAGTATCAGCGCTACTGCAACAAGTCCTGTGAGATACATGAGCGGCTCAGGGCGAGCGCCGGTAATCAATCTCTAGGGAAGGAGCTGGAGAAAAGGGATCAGCAGCTGATACAGTTCATTCGCAGGAATTGTGAGCTCGAGGAGCTACTTCATGTAAAGGACAAGGAACTCGAGTTGGGAAATGGAGTCGCCGCAGAGTGTGAGCATCTTCAGGCGAAGGTGTTGTCATTGCAATCCGAGCTCGATCAAAATGCCGCTATAGTTGAGGCTTTAAGTGCAGACTGGATGTGGAAATTAGCCGAGCTGGAGAGGAAAGCGTCTGAGTTGGAGAGCGCCGAGAGTGCTCGGGCATCGACTTCATCAAGGGTTGCGGTGTTGGAGGACACTATCCGCGTCCTTCAATCTGATCAGGAATCCAAGAGGGAAACGTCCACGCTAAGGGAGGTGAGGCTTAAAGAGCGCATTGGCAAAATTGACCGGGAAGCTTCAAACTTGGGATATTGGGTCGCTGTACTTGAGGCCGAAAAGGCACAATTGTTAGCCCAAGTTGAATCTGCCTTTGCTTCTATTCCTCACCACTTGCACGAGCTCCAGGTTCATGCTGAGGCCCAACGGGACATATACAAGAGTTTGTGGGAGGCAGGCAATATTTCTGAGGCCGCTTATGAAGGAGCCCGGAAGAAGGCACAAGAGGCTCGTGTCAACTGCGGCTACAATCATGCGACGCCGGAGGCTGGCGAGGATGGTGATGCTGAGGAGGAATTTCCTAGAGATAATGATGAGGAGAATGGAAGT